CTTTACCTTTAAGATGCCCACTCCTTTTCATTATCATGTTTACAACAACGAGGAAAACTGTATAGACTTCTAAAACAGCCACGGAAGTCCCACTGTCACCTCTGTGGGAAAGTGGCATCTAGAACCCATGGAGGGCATGTTTTCCTCACGCTGTGAACTGTACTGTGCAGCTTTCCCAGCTGGCTCTCTTTAAGAGGCTTTAGAGAGTGATATGACAATGGTGTCCCTTCTCTCCTTTGCAAATCCTAAGCCCTTCAAGAAGTAGAAAACAAAGAAAGAATAAGCGCATAAACACTAAGAGCCTCTTTTCCACTTAGAAGGGACACAAGAGGTAAAAGGAGTTTGTGATCGGAAAGGGTGAAAATCTAAATGTTTTGTTTTCCACCCCAAGGCTTTTGTCATTGCTGTGAATGGGCATCACTTCATTGGGGAGAAAGCCCCTGACTGGCTGATTTCATGATGACAGGGTAGTAGTTAGTTTCTTACTCCCTTCTATTTTCTTCACTTAAAAACCAAGATAGCAGCCAGGTGGTGGTGGCCCCGGCAGCACGTGACTTTAATTCCAGCACTCAGGAGGCAGAGGTAGTGGGATCTCAGTGAGTTCGAGGCCAGCATGGTCTATAGAGTGAGTTAGGACAGCCAGGGCTACACAGAGAAACCCTGTCTTGAAAAAACAAGTAATAATCCTAATAATTAATCAATACAGGTCTGGAGAAATTGCTCAGCAGTTGAGAACTCTGACTGCTCTTCCAGAGGACCAGGGTATGGTCCCCAGCATCCACACACAACTCACAACCATCTCTAACTCCAGTTCCAACGGAGCGGCCACCCTCTTCTGGCCTCTGTGAGTACCAGGCATGTGAGTCTATGGTACAAAGACATACATGCAGGCAAAATATTCATACACATCTTTTTTAATAGTCAGTAAAGCATATAATCTACTACCAAACAAAACTAGTAATTAGAAAATAGTAAAAAGCTAACAATGTCTTAAACATTGGTTTTGTCAGAGTGCCACAACTGGTCAAGTTATCGAAGATACCTGAGCATTTCAGAAAAAAAATAATCTTAAATCTAAAAAAAATGCTTTAGTCAGGCAGTGGTGCCAAGTACCTTTAATCCCAGCACTTGGGAGGCAGAGCCAGGTAAATGTGTGAGTTCAAGGTCAGCATGGTCTACACAGGGTGAGTTCCAGAACAGCCAAGACTGACTCACAGAAACTGTCTCAAAATAAATAAATAAATAAATAAATAAATAGATAGATAGATAGATAGATAATAAAAATAAAGCTTAAAACTATTTTTTTTCTTTCCAACAATGTAAAGACAGCTTCAAAAACTGGCTTTTGTATCCAATAGGACAAAAACAACTCTTAGAGACCCAAGCTGTCAGAAGTACACTCAGTAACCTGCTATCATCTGAAACAGCTAAGGCAGAGTCCTTAGCTCCAACATGTAAAATGGAACCCTGATCAGAGACCCTGGATTCTAGAGACTCTGCTTTAATAAGATACCACTATGGTGTGGGGATGGGGAACAATTTCAAGACCCCCCCCCCGACTGTCTTCTGTATTTCTTGCAAAAGATCTCTCACACTGAAAGTCATCTAAATTATAGCTAACCAATGAAGGGTTAAAATTTTTAAAAAAAATTAAGTACCCCCAAAAGCATTAAACTCCCATCAGTGACTGCCTTGAAGCCTGGGCCTCTATACCCTGACATCTAAAAGTCAAAGAAATCCTCTCTTTTAAGAGGAAAATTCCCAGGAGGAAGAAGGCTGAGCTCCAGCATGAGAGCACACAATGGAATCACCGCTGACAAAGCACATCTTTTTCTAGATGTCTCCATATGCTTGAGAGGTTTTCCCCTAGCCAGGCATTAGGGGACTTGCTACTCTACCACCAAGAATCGACGAACATTTTCAAGAGAATGAAGTAAAATAATAGGTTGCTTTTATGAATTAGGGAAAGAGAAAAGGCCTCCAGAGTGGCCCTCTGTAACCAAATTAACTAATGGTGGGAGTGTCTGGATGCTGCTGGATCCTGAACAGTAATTTACAATACTCCCCACTTCTGTCAGCGCAAATAAATGCTTGTTTTATCTTTGGCTTGACTCATTTATCACCAAAATAACACTTCAAAAGCTACAGCAAAATGCAATTTATTTCTACAAGAATGCTCAAAATTACACTGGATTGGGAATCTACATTGTAAATCTGAAAGTCTCGTATCACAGACTACTGTTTCCCTGCAGTACAGTCTCTCTCAAATTCTTAGTAACCCAATAATAATAAAAGCTGAAGAACCCAGTATGAAAACCTAAGTATCATGCTCATAAAATATTTTTGAAATCCCAAAATTAAATTCCTGGATGACAGATTCCAAAATTGAACGGATTCTTGGTTTAGCACCACTCACTCTCTGAACACTCAGACACTAGGAATTGGAGAAGGAAAGCTGCAGCTAAGGGGTGGACTGACCTCCCCAACAAAGAAAAGGAGAGCGAGCACGGACACACAGAAAGCAGGGCGGCAGCTGTTGTCTTTTTAACAGACCGCAATTCCCGCTGAGCAACCTGGGATCCTCCCAGGGAACCCCACCCCATCCCCCACTCTACCCCCGTTCCTGAAAGGCAGGAAGGAGTCCAGAAAGTCACTTCGCTGGTCCAAAACACTTAAAAAAAAATCAAAGCTAGCTCTTGACCTCTTACACAACAGAAGTAGCCACACACTGTGAAATTCATCTGTGTTTAAGGAAAAGTAAAAATTGTTAAGAATCTTTCGTATGGGAGTCACCTGGGAAGTTATACTTTACCCGCCCTGCGCCACTCACCCCCTCACCTTTTTTTCTGCAGGAAAATATTCTTTGGCTAGTTTTGCACTTTAAATACTCATGCTCAGTGTCTCACTGATGCCTTGGTTGATAACTTCATTTTGTTTACCCAGGAGCAAGAGAGAGATAAAAAAAAATCCACATAGCATAAACCACAACTTTATAAAATGTCACACCAAAACTAAACACAAAACTTAAGAGAGTACACGACGCGAACTGGTGGCCTGGTTAAACGAGGACCCACTAAAGCCTTCCGAACAAGGATGCATTAGCACTTCTAATAATCACCTGACACAAGGCCACCGAGCGCCTGCACGCTTTACCGTGCCCTTTCAATTTCATCGTCCCGCTGCTGGACGGAAGCCTAGTGAAATTAACGCAGACCTCCAAAGATCCCTAGCACGTACACCTGGCACTGAGCTCCAGAACACGGCCACTACCAACATATGCCATTTAAAACCGGGCCTCGCACAGACTGCCACATCCTGAGGTGGCTTAGACTTTGTCATGTCTAAAACAACGCCTCTCGCGGCACCAGAGAAAAGCAGTATCTTCGCGCACCTCTGCAGGTCTCCCCAGGTCACAGATTCTGTGAGTGACACTATTCCACAAGCCGAGGTGCGGGCGACCAAGGGACGCGCCAGAGTGGAAGGCTCCCGGCGTCTCCATGACTCCCCCCGCCCCGCGAGCAACTCAACCCTAACTGGTCGGAAGAAGCCCCGCCCCCCTCATGCCTCCGGCTCCCACCATTGGCTTACCGATACCCGGCAGGTCAGTTCCCGCCGTCTATTGGCTCACTGCCCCATCAGTCAGGCACGGCAAGATTCGGGTCGGTGGGAGGGGAAGGAGTCGGAGGAGGTGGAGTGGGAGTGGGATTAGAGGACGAGGTGGCGGAGGAGGGTGCTCGGGCTCCGGTTTGGGAAAGTTTCCCCTACCAGTGACAGGCTCTCTAAGGCGTGAGGCCCAACGCCGCTCGCGGCGAGGAAGGGGCTCGAGTCCCCGATTCCCGCCCCTCGGTCCGCAGGCCCCGGAAGCCACTTGGGGGAGGGGGAAGGGAGGGACCATGGAAGCTGGGACCGAGCCACCCCCGAGCGCGGCCGCGGCGCCTCCAGGACTCCCCCGAGGGGCGGGGTGCGGGCACTTCAGCCCGCGGCGCCGACCCTGGCCGCCTCCCCCGGGAGCCTCCAGGGCCCCGGAGAGGAGGGTCCCCCCGGTCCAGGGCGTGACCCGGGCGCGCCGGCCGCCAGGACCCCTCCCGCTTCCCGCGGGGGCCCCCCCAGGGCCTGTCCCTGCAGGGGCCGCAGGAGGGGGACGAAAAGGGGGCGCTGGCGAGCCAACCCGGAACCTCCCGGCCCGCCTCCCGCCCCCGGCCGCGGCCCCAGCGCGCCTCCGGCACACATGCCCGCACCCAGAAAGTTAAGTCAGGGGCGAGCCCGGCGCGGCGCCGCCGCCGCCCGACCCCGGCTCCCCGCCCCCACCGCGGCCCGGCCTGCGCGGCCCGAGCGCTGCCGCCCCGAAGCCACCCAGGCCCGCGGCCCCCAGACGCCCGAGCCCCCGCCGCCGCCCCTGCCAGCCGCGTCACCTTCACACACACCCCCGGCACTTCCCGGGTCCTGCCGCCCCTTGCCCGGCTCCCAACCCGTGCAGCAGCCGCCGCACGCCTCCCGGGAAGAAAGCACCGGCCGCGGCTGCGCTCGCCGGCCCGGGTTTCCCCCGCCGGCCGGGAGCCGCCTCCCCGGGCTCCGCCGCGCAACCCCAAGGGGGCCAGAGCCGGGACCCGCGACAAACCGCAGCTTCCCGGCCTGGTGCTCACCTCTCGGCCGGCGCTGCAGGCTGCAGCCTCCGCCCGCCTCGCGCTCCGGGGCTCGTCTCCCGAGCTCTCTCGCCCGGCGCCCGAGCGCCTCCTTTCTCTCCCGGGGACTCAGCGTCTTCCCGCCCTCCCCACCACCCCACCCCCCCAAGAGCCGAGTCCCCGGCTCGGCCGCGCCTCGATGATGCGCGTCGCGGGCTCCGCACGCCCGGGCAGCGGTGCCCGCACACAACAACAGCCCGCCCGGCCGGCGCGCGGCTCCGCCGAGCTGCGCGCACCAAGGGCAGCGGCCCGGGTGGGGACGCAGCACCCCCCGCCCGCCACCCGCCACCCGCGGGCCCCCAGGGGAGGCGCAGTTACCAGTGGGGCCGTCACGCCGTCAGGTGCCGGCTGCCGTCGGCGCTGACCTTCGCCGCAGCCGCGGGAGCCCAGGCTGCGGCCGCCATGTTCCCGTGTTAATAACTGCTGCCTGGTTGTTTATTTCAATGGAGATCCTCCCCCAGCTCCCTCCTCCTCCTCCTCCTCCTCCTCCTCCTCCGCGGCTCCGCACTTGCGGAGAGAGACACAGACCGCGCGAGCTCGCGAGCAGGGGAGGGGGCTCGGGCACGGGGCTGGCCCGCCCTCCGCCTCCCGGCCGCGACCGCCTCCAAGCGAGCGCTGTCACCGCGCAGGAGACGGGGCGGAAACTTGCGTCCCGCGCCCCCGAGCGTGGGCCCAGGCGCACTGTGGCTACCCCAGCCGCAGGGTCCTCAACATCTCCCCAGCCGGCGAGACTTCAGAGCCCCGAGAGTTGGACTAGATGGGTGACTGTGGTCTAGGGACCGTGACCTATGGGTGACTGCGAGTGAAGGGAGAGTCAACAGAGGACTCCATGCGAGGGCAAAGGGCAGTGCCCAAAAAGAAAGCTAGCGAAGGGGACAGGCCCGGGTAGGGGAGTGGAGGCCGAGGGAACGCCGCGCCGCCGACGGCGGAGACGACGCTGCGAGAAGGTCGCGGAAAACCTAGTGCCAGGGTCGCCCCGAGAGGAGCCTCCTGCGCGCGCTAAGGCAGGGCCCCGTTGCCAACAGCCTGCACCCCTCGCGCGCACCTCGGACAAGCTCCGCACCCAGCCGCTGCTCCGGGAGGCACCCCTTGGCCACCATGTCCCCTCGGTTCCTTCGAGGATACGCCTCCCCAGTTGCCGTCCCTAACGTCTGGAGGGGATAGAGGGGCGTGACCACAGGAGGCGAACTACAGGGGTGCCACCCTGCGATTGCTTGACAAAGCCAAGGCTGCACCGTGTTTAGGAAGATTGGGGGAAGCGTTCTCGGCACGCCACGAGACGACAAAAGTTTTGTTTTGTTTTGTTTTGTTTTAATTGGGGAATCCATTATCTAAGCCTCAGTTGGATTTGGGGATTGAGGAAACGTGGAGGAGTATTATCGCAGAGAATCCCCTTTAAATGTATTTTGGTTTTTTAACTCTTTGGAAAAGCAACTTCTTTTTCCATTTAGGTATAATTAGTTGAAAGAAATGAGCAACATTTGTTTGCTTAACGGAAGTTATCAAAATATGGCAGGAACACGTTTCCTTATTTTAACTCTTATGAAAGGTCACTTGTCATAGACAATAATAGTGTTTATTGAACAGTAACGACTTGGCACTGCGTTAAGTGATTCACACACACTCCAATTTTAATCCTCAGACCTTGCAAAGTAAGTGCTATTTTTATACTTCACAAAACTTTAAAGCCTAAAGAAACATTTTTTTGTAGGGTCACACAGTAAGCAAGGTGGCAAAGATTTGAGCCCAAAGCCATTAATTGCTAAACACGTGCTTTTTAATCGTGTTTTCAAGCTCCAATTTATTTGGACAAAGAAAAAAGTATATGTCTGCTTGGTTATGGCTAGAAAATGTTTGTAAAGCTGTGACCAACGTTAGCATTGGGGAGTGTAATCAGAAGGAGGAGGTCTACAATGGGATCCTTCCACTTTTTAATTTAGGGCTGTGTCTAGTGTTTGGAATGTTTGTTTTGACCACGTGTTAACAGTAAATTTAAAAGACTTTTTTAAATTAGCTAGAATAACTAAATTATGTTCCCTGAAGACTCAAAAGGCTGCACCGGCTTGGAAACAGAACCAGGAAATGGAAGGTGTTCTTATGATCTGTCTTCCCCTGCTCTTAGACCATAATACACTAGCAGTGAGGTTGTGCTCCTCTGAGGACTGTCCCCATTCCGAGACTCTAGGTTAAGACTCTTCATGTTTTCTAGTCCTCCCTTTTTTTGGCTGAAGTCCAGAATCCATCAGCGCTCAATGGCAACAGAATTAACACTTTAAAAAACTGCCCTTGATGTCTGTGCAAACAAAGGACTCCCTACTTCATTGCTGTGTTACTCAATACAACTTCTTACTGCAGGCTCAAGACACATGACTGTTGCTAAAAAAATCAAACAAACCAAAAAAATCTTACAGTAGCATAATGAGTTCCATGTCCAGCTCTAACTGAGTTACTCTAGCTCAACCTGGGGGAATCATTTAACTTTTGCTTTCTAAAACAGTGTCTGGACTTCACACCAATGTTGTAGCTATGGCAGTTAGTCATTTGTTTTTATATTTTTAAATTTGTATTCTTAGAACCAGCCTTGTTATCTATACATCTTGACTTAGAGCTGTCTTGAGTAACAATCTCTCCTGTATGTATCAACACATACTGAACAATGATTTCTGGGTTGCAAAAGACTATTACTTTTGTATCCTCTATGAAGTCTTTGTGCATAAGTCCAATAAACAGACAAGTATTACTATGTTATGTTTGTAGAAAACAAAGTACATGGCCTTGTTTATGCACTTACCTTTTCATTCACTAGATTGTTACTAGGACCCAGGGCACACCAACCCCTGTGAGTTCCTCCAGTGACACTTGGAATTACATAGAGTAGCAAGTTTTAAATGTTTTTCTTTATTGGTGGGGGGGAGGGTTCGAGGCATGATTTCTCTGTAGCCTTAGATCCTGTTTTGGAACTAGCTCTTGTAGACCATGCTGGCCTTGAACTCACAGAGATCCCCCCCCCCCTGCCTCTGCCTCCCTAGTGCTGGGATTAAAGGCATGTGCCACTACTGCCTGGCGTTTTTTTTCTTTATGTAGATATCTCTATGATAAGGTTTATATATTAGGAAGTAAGACATTAATATAATAAAACAGTGATAGCTATGCTATAATCATTGTTATATAAATTTTTGTAGGGTATCTCAAACACACCAATCTATAATTTCATTATTTTTTTAAAGACAACATAGATTTCTTGATAGCCAGGAAGACTTATGTATGGGTAGAATACATAGTGAAGATAGTTTGCCCAAAGGAATGATTTGATTCAAAGTGGTGCAGATGACATTTTGTCATGATAGAATGGCAAGCAATGTAAAAGTTGTAAATTATGTTTTATGAAATTTTTCATTTAATGTTTTCAGATCATACTTGATTATGGGTTAGTGTAGTGACAGAAAAAAAAACAAGGGACCTACTGCATCTGATCTTGTACATATGTCATATGCATATGCCTGAATCATAAAACATTCTTATAAAAACGATTTTCCAGATTTTGAAGAATCAGATTTCTGAGACCTCAGAAATAATTATTTATTAGAGCTAACTACAGTCAAGTAGACATGATGTCACATGTTTGTAATTCTAGGAAGGTAGAGTCCCTAGGATGAGTTTAAAGCAATCCTTGGCTACATGGAAAGTTTGAGGCCAACCTGGGCTACACAAGGCCCTTTCCCAATGAAACATACATTTCTAAAAGCTAGCTATAATTCTAAGTGAATCATCATTGTGACTATGTAAAACGAAAAGGCCAAAAAGGCAGTAAATAATCTGACTCAATGACACGAAGGAAGAGGGAAGCAGAGATACAGGAAGCATGTAGATTATTGAGAGAACAACCCACTAAGAAAAAAGTTAGTGCCATAAAGAGAAAGGAAGTCATTGAAATTTAGTAGAAGCAGAAAGTTGACAGTCCATGGCAAATGAAAAAGGAAAGATTCCCCTACTCCCCCAAAATAGCAGCAGAATCGTGAATGCAACATAAACCAGCAAATGAGTTTTTTTTTTACTTTTTTTTTCTTCCTTTTTTTCTTTTTTTTTAACTTTTATTTTTTGGAGCAAATGAGTTTTTTTTTTTTAAAAAAGTAAATTATCCATTTAACAAATTCACTAAGAAAATCAGTAGTGTAAAACTGATTTTCTTTTTTTTTAAGTATAGATAATGTATGTTGTTGGGAAAGTGGCCTGCAGGTGCGCGTGGAGGTCAAGGACCACTTGCTTCTGGCGGTTGGTTCTCTCCTTATTCCATGTGATCCCAGGGATTGAGTTCAGATCACTGACTTGATAGCAAGAACATTTACCAACAGAGCCATTTTGTTGGGTTTTTTTTCTTTCTGTGTATATGTGTGTGTGTGTGTGTGTGTGTGTGTGTGTGTATATATATGTATATATATATATATGGTCACATGATTGAGGGTATGCACGTGAGGGAAATGCCACATTTGGCATGGGGAGTTTTGCTAAATTGCTCAATCACACTCAACCTTGTTCATTGAACCCAGAACTCACACGAATGTCTAGTCGGTTTGCTCCAGGGGAACACCTGGCTCTGCCTTACAAGTGCTAGAATCACAGGTGGCCCAGCACGTGTGTCTGATATTTCTGTGAGTCCTTGGGATCCAATTCCAGTCTCCACACTTAAAGCAGACACGTTAACCACTGGGCCATCTCCCTAGCTCCTGTGATATGGGCCTTAAAAAAAAATAAAATAAAATAAAAATAAACAACAACAGCAAAAACCTGGTCTCACTCCAGGCTCAAACTAACTGAAAATCTTCAACCTCTCAAAATATGGGACTATATACATACACCACCACACCCAGCAAATACTTCTATTTTTGCTTGCCTTTACTTCCACTTCCGTGTTCAACTTTCAAGGTACTCACTTTTTCCATACATAAAAATGAGATTCTCTACTATCTTGCGTTAGTTTCTTACATACATCATATTGTAATGAGGGTGAAATATAATTGCAAGAGGCCACATGAGGTAAGTGAATAAACATGAAATAAAGGCTAATAAAATTAAAAAGGAGTTGACTACTTATTGTGTAGTCATAAAGTTATCAAACACAGTTTTATTTGTTGATTTTTGCTTTTTTGACACAGGGTTTCTGTGTAGTTTTGGAGCCTGTCCTAGAACTTGCTCTGTAGACCAGGCTGGCCTCGAACTCAGAGATTTGCCTCTGCCTCCTGAGTGCTGGGATTAAATGCATGTGCCACCACCACCTGGCAGAACACAATCTCTTTATGGTACAATTGTCAGGAACTCTAAACAGTTTTAAAAAGTGAATTTTGTCTGGTTTTTTGTTTTGTTTTGTTTTTCGAGACAGGGTTTCTCCATAGCTTTTGGTTCCTGTCCCAGAACTAGCCCTTGTAGACCAGGCTGGCCTCGAACTCACAGAGATCCGCCTGCCTCTGCCTCCGGAGTGCTGGGATTAAAGGTGTTCACCACCACTGCCCGGCTTTGTCTGTTTTTTTTTTTTTTTTTTTTATGCAGACCTAACATTTTTGTTAGATTCATAAATCTATGACTATCATATTTATCCGTGTTTTTGTACATTCTCAAATTATAAAATAAAAAACTTACTCTTTAAAAAATATAAGTTCGGACTTTTTGAGGAAGGCTGCTAGAGCTCTGACGAACTCCTGCTGGTTAACGTCTTTTACAGTAACTCCAGGCATCGTGCGGCCTCCGCGCTGCTAGCCAGGGGAAGCTGAAGGTCCCCGAATGTCTGGACACAGTCAAGCTGGCCAAACATAAAGAGCTTGCCCCCTATGATGAGAACTGGTTCTACACGCAAGCTGCCTCTACAGCACGGCACCTGTACCTGCTTGGTGGTGCCGGGGTTGGCTCCATGACCAAGATCTATGGAGGACGGCAGAGAAACGGTGTCAGGCCCAGCCACCTCAGCAGAGGCTCCAAGAGTGTGGCCCGCCGCGTTCTCCAAGCCCTGGAGGGACTGAAAATGGTGGGAAAGGACCAGGATGGGGGCCGCAAGCTAACACCTCAGGGACAGAGAGATCTGGACAGGATTGCCGGACAGGTGGCAGCTGCCAAGAAGAAGCATTAGAACAAAGGATGCTAGGTTAATAAACTGCCTCATTCATAAAAAAAAAAAAAAAAAAAAAAAAAAAAGTTCGGGCTAGAGAAATGGCTCAGAGGTTAGGAGAACTGACTGCTGTTCTGGATGTCCTGAGTTCAGTTCCCAGCAACCACATGATGGCTCACAACCATCTATAATGAAATCTGGTGCCCAGAACACTATATACATAATAAATAAATAAAAATACATACAAAATAAATAAATAAATAAAAACATAAAATAAACAGGCTCGGTGTGGTGCTGGCACATGCCTGTAATCCCAATGCTACAGGTGAAGGCGGGAAAATCAAGAGTTCAAGGGCAGTTACACACCCAGTTCCAACTGAGGACTTATCTCAAAAACCCCAAAACAGGTTCCAAAGCCACAGAGAAACCCTGCCTCAAAAACAAACAACAAAAACTATAACCACAGGAATACAAAAACAAGAAATGGACAAAGTTAGACTTCAATTTGGTTACTGAATAAAAACATTTAACCAAATATTTGATTTCTTCAAAACCCTTAAAGATTTCCACCAGAAGTGTTTAGTGAGCGAAGCATTATTCCCTACATTCTTTTATTTTGTTTTGTTTGGTTTTTTGTTTGTTTGTTTTTTGTTTTTCGAGACAGAGTTTCTTTGAGTAACAGCCCTAGCTGTTCTGAAACTAGTTCTTGTAGACCAGGCTGGCCTCAAACTCACAGAGATCCGCCTACCTCTACCTCAGGAGTGCTGGGTGTGAGCCACCACCACAGTCCATACATTCTTATCTCTAAGGGAAGGAGCCATTATGTGTATTGCTATTCCCACTTTACACGGAGGGAAACTGTGGCCCAGGGTTATTCAATAATGTACGCAAGGGGGCTGGAGAGATGGCTCAGAGGTTAAGAGCATTGCCTGCTCTTCCCGAGGTCCTGAGTTCAATTCCCAGCAACCACATGGTGGCTCACAGTCATCTATAATGAAATCTGGTGCCCTCTTCTGGCATATAAACATACGTGAAAGGAGTGTTGTATACATAATAAATAAATAAATCTTTAAAAAAAATAATGTACGCAAGGCCGTTAAGCAGCCTTTGTGAACTGCTCATGGATTTGTGCTGAGAGCCTGCTCTTTGCCTTTTTTTTTTTATTCTGGCTTTTCAAGACAGGGTTTCTCTGTAGCTTTGGAGCTTATCCTGGAACTCACTCTACAGACTAGGCTGGCCTAGAACTCATAGAGATCCACCTGCCTCTGCCTCCCGAATGCTGGGATTAAAGGCGTCTGCCACCACTGCCTGGATGTTCTTTCTATCTTAATTAATGTCTCTGTTCCTCAAAGTAACAAGTTATCTTCACCTTTATCTTCTTGTACCTATAACAATTCTTAGAACACAATGTGTGCTCAATAAAATGCTCATTGAATGAACAAATGAATGAACTTTCTCTCTTTGAACCATAAAGCACAATGTCACAAATTATCTCTTCCCACTATTATTACTTTCCCACTTAAAACACTTAACAGTCCTTCATTATCTATAGGATACAATCAAACCCTTTACCTTACATTAAGATTGTCCTCAACATGACCTTGTTTTTCTCAGGGTATCTTTCCTGCTGCTTAAACAACAAATACCTATAATACCCCTAACGCTCGTTTAAGGTCCTGGAAATCAGACTGTCGTGAGTTTCAACTCTGACAGTGTCTGTGTAAATGCAGACAAGTTCTTCCACATCTCTGAAAATCCAGTCCAGTGGGATGAGGAAGCAGAAGGAAATTCAATGGCAATGATAGTATACATAGAAACTCACAAGAACTTACAAATCACTGAAGTGAATTTAAGGTTGCTGGATATAAGAGCAAACACAGAAATCAGCTGAATTTCTGTATAAGAAGAAATAATATGAAATGGAAAAATTTCAATGCTATCAACAAGGACAAAAACATCACACACTCGGAAATATATTTACAGGAAAATGTATAAAGACCTTTACACTTGTTTCACGATGAGCTGGAGGATTTTATGACTTGGATCTATAGCAGCTTTGCATGGCATGGGAACTGGTCTGCGGAGCCTCAGGCAGTAGCTGTCCCCTGTGCTGTGTGGCAGTGCACGTGGCTCTCCCAGGCAGGCCCTCCAACTCCAGGTGCTGTCCTCATCACTCCCCAGGGCCTGCTCCTCTACCCTCACCTTCCCCCAAGAGTGTGTTGTTTTCTGTTTCAAAAAGTTACAAAAATAAATCTTCAAGTTAGTTTTTTTTTTAACATGAAAAACAAAAACTGCTGATAGAAATCCACAAGATTTCACTAAAGGCTAAATGTGACAATGTCAGTCCTGGTAAGATCTAGACACAAAGTGTCTGCCAGAAGAACTCATGTGCTGACGGCTTAGGGTTCAGCTGGTCCGCCCAACAATTAAAAGACCATTGGGGTCATGGGAGCTCCACATCAGTGGGTTAATCCACTGGTTTCAAAGTTGTCAATTAGAGTAAAGGGGGCCTCACTGGAGGAAGTAGGTCACTTTGGAGGGGCACCTGTGCAGGGGATCCTGTCTCTAGTTCCAGGTGACTTTCTGCTCGCTGTCTCCTGAGAGGAGAGCAGTTTAGCTCCACCACACCCTTCTTCCAGGAGCCAGACCTCTTTAGCTGGGGACAACAGAGCTAGAAGACAAAGACTGAAACCAGAGCCAATCCAGAGCTTTCCTTGCTTGAGAACTCACCTCAGGGATTCATCCAACACAGCCCCAATCAGAACCTCACAGGCTTCTGGAATGAAAACGGATACAATCTGAAACTGTAGAGCAAAGTATTCCCTAACATTGCCAAGACAGGTGTGCAGGAGTACCACTTGTATTACAGTGGTATTACATTCCCAACTTCAATGCTTACATACACCCACAATAACTAAACAGAGTGACAGTGTGGAAGGCCAGGGAATCAGTGCACCAGAAGGCAGAAGAGAGCAAGTTTACAGCCAACTGATCTTACCTAAAGTTGTCGGCAAAAGGAAGGTCAGTGTGGAGAAAGGAATATTCCCACCTCACAGCATAAGGAAGAAAGAATTCCAGACAGAGTTTAACTTCAAAGCTAACGTCAAAAGCTAAGACATGCCTCAGCAGTTAAGATCCCACGGGGATCTTCCAAAGGAACTAAGTGTAGTTCCCAGCACCCACACCAGGAAGCTCAGAACCACCTACAGCTGCTACTCTAGAAGGATCTGCTGGTGTCTTCCACTGAGGGCTACATTCTTGTCTTAAATTAACAGAACAAAGAAAGTGGAGGCACACGCCTTTAATCCCAGCACCTGGGAGGCAGAGGCAGGCAGACCTCAGTGAGTTCAAGGCCTGCCTGGTGTAGACCGTGAGTTCTGGACAGCCAGGGCTTACCCAGAGATCCTTGCCTGACCCCCCACAAACAAATGCCCACCCCCCCCCAAGAAATTAACAGAAATGTTTTAAGTTAAGGTCAAAGCAGTAAAGCTCCTAGAAGAAAGCATGGGATAATGTCACCACAGCCTGGAATATAGAAATAATTGACAGATAAAGCAGCATATGCCTTTGACCCCAGCACTTGGCAGACAGAGGCAGACAGATTTCTACAAATGTGGGGCCAGACTGATCTCTATGGCGGGTTCCAGGGCAGCCAGGAACTAAACAATGAAAATATCAAAATCCGCTGTTTCAGTCTGTTGGCAAAGACTTGCCCCAGGCTCAGTATGTAGCCCAGGCTGGTCTGGAGCCCTTGAAGATGATCCTGTTCCACTTTACTAAAGAAAAACAATGTATTTATGCCTGTATGTTATTTACACATGTGAGTGAGCATGCATGCGTGCTTGTATAGAAGTCAGAAAACAACATCAGGCACCTTCCTCTATCATGATCCACATTTTGTTCGTTTTTCAAGACAGTGTCTCACTATGGAGTCCTGACTGTCCCAGAACTCAGTACGTAGACCAGTCAGGCCTTGAACTCTCATAAATCTGGCTGCCTCTGCCTCCAGAATGCTGAGAATCAAAGGTATGCACCATGATGATCAACTATCACCTTATTTTTGAAACCAGGACTCTCAATGAACCCAGAGCTTCTCAATTTGGCAAGGCAAGCTGGTCAATGATCTCCAACTGTCCCCCTCTCTGGCCCGATGCCCACACCAGCACCAGCACTGGTGTGAGAGCAGCAAGCGGTTACCTTCAACACAAATGCCAGGATCTTCATGCTTGCAAGGTGGAACTTAAAACAAAGGCACCAGCCACAAAAGGGGAAAAAAATGATGCATTATCTTTATTAAATTTCTTATCAAAAAGTAATAAACTTATCATTAAAAATGCTACTACCAGTGGAAAAAAGTCTACATGCTGGAAAGCCATATCTGTGTTTCCCTTACCAAGCAAGGTGGCTACATCTAGAATAAGAAACACCTCCAAAGTAACAGTAAGAAATGCCACAGTGTGACAGAACGGGCAAAACCTCAAAAGTTACTTTAAAGTGTGTGAACAGCTAATTAAACACATGAAAAGATTTTTAAAGTCATTAGTCATCAGAGAAATGATGCAAATTAAAGCCACACTGCCTACCATTTCCACACCCACTAGAAAGGCTGCATGCTGACAAAATGAACCTCAGGGACTGGGGTGGTAACGAGGACACCACTTCCTAACAGAAGGGACTGGAAGGCTCACTGGTCACTGGCTCTGCAACCACCTCAGAAAGCTCAGCAAGTATAGTTCTACTCAACAGTTATCAATGAGATGTGAAAACATGTGCCCACCAAAAGACATATTAGCAGAACTCTTTTTGGTTTTGTTTTTGTTGTTGTTTTTTTTTGGGGGGGGGGAAGCTGTGTGGGTTTCTTTTTGTTTGTGTGATTGGTTAGTTGTTGTTTTGAGTGTTTTTCTCTGTGTAGCTCTGGCTGTCCCAGAACTCTCTTTGTAAACCAGGCTGGCCTTGAACTCACAGAGCTCGACTTGCCTCAGCCTCCTGAGTGCTGGGATGATAGGTGTATACTACCTACCCACTACCCAACTGAGATTTTCTAAATTAGTAAT